AGTCCAGCTGCTTGTTGAAAAGTACCTTCGGGATATTTCAAAGCCTTATGTGAACTGGATGCTTTATGGCTGCAACAATAAGAACATGTACTCTTGATGGTGCATTATATTTTACCTGATTGTCTGTTTCATGATTCTCCTCTAGAAATTTTTCATCAGTTCTCTTCTTTTCTATTCTGTATTTAGTCACTTGTGGCAGCTGCAGTCTGGCAGGCCTTAAAACCTCTCTTTGTCTGTTGCTTGTTGGAAGATCTTGAAAAATAAAATGGAAAAAGAATTTTAACTCATGCTATTCTTTCCTGATGACAATCTTCTTATACTTGGGTTTCTTAAGAGTTGTTCTTCCAAGTGAAAAATAGAATTTTGTGATTGCTACAGTGCCTGGATATCCCTATTATTATTCTTCCTCAAGGACCAAGGCAGCTAGATTTCCCTCAGGTTTAGCAAATATTTTACAGTTCTCATTTCCCCTGCACCATTTTAAATCTTTCCTCTTTGAAGGTGTAAATAGGTAGGATAGAAGTGACGTACCTGCTTAAATCAAGTCATATGACACACGTCCACATGGATGTTTAAACACTGAACTTTCACACGTCACATATCAGAATCACCTACCTGCCGCTCAGTCTATAAGACTTGCACACAAGGACATAGTTTTTGATAAGCTAGTTTTATGGCAGATATCTGAAAAGCTATAATTGGAATAGAAAACCTGGAAGCTCTAAGATTCAAATCATACCCAGAATAGTCACAAAGTTGAAACTTTACATCTCTTTCTTCTGATGGTTTGTGACAGATCAAGAGCTGGTTGTTCCTCTGTAGGAAGAGTGACTGGTAGCAGCATTCACCACAGAAACAAAATGCTCCTTCTGATCAAAGCAACATCATTGCATCTCAAGCCTTATACATGTGCTGTACAGTAGGCCTATGATTGTAATTGATCCCACAATTTTGGTCATAAATCATGATGGTAGTAAACCAGGCCAGCATTTGGCCATATCTGATTCTATGACCTTTTTTGTGCAGGTTGTAATGCAGAGGTGGTATTCAGCAGGTTCTGACCAGTTCTGGAGAACCGGTAGAGGAAATTTTAAGTAGTTTGGAGAACCAGCAACTACCACCTTTAACTGGCCCCATCCCCATCTATTCTTTACCACCTGAGTCCCAGCTGATTGGCTGGGCCTTGTTTTGTCGCCCTGCACAGGAGAATGGAGCTGGAAAGCAGGTTAGTGGAGTGGGGAGGGAATGGGATCTTGCAGTAACCTTCCCCCAGGAGTGGGGTGGGAATGGAGATTTTATAGTATCCTTCTCCTGCCATGCCCACCAAGCCACATCATGCTCACAAGCCACGCCCACAGAATCGGTAGTAAAACTTTTTGAATCCCACCACTGTTATAAGGCCACAATTGTTAAGGGAATCCATTGTTTGCTATGGGGCAGATTATGAGGCAGAGGTAAACCCCAGCTTCTGAGAAAAACTTTGTAAATTACAGTCATGTGACTAATGGGGCCCTGCCAACGGCTATAAATGCAGGCCAATTACCAAAGCATCTCAAGTGCATGACTGGTCAGGGGGATCGTGGAACTTCAAATCTGGGTTGTAAATCACTTTTTTGGGGGCTACACCCAGTGGTGGGATTCAACCGGTTCACACTGATTCAGGCAAACTGGTTGTTAAATTACCACCACCGCCCTGCTATCAAAGTGGATCCTGGGACTGTGCTATGCTGCAATGGAGAAAAGGGCAACAGAGCAGCTGACATGAGGGAAGGAGAAGGCCATTTTCCCTCTTTCTTCTCCCTGCTCCTCCTCCTCCCCTCCGTTTCCCATTTCTCCATTGCAACGCAGCAGGATCCACTTTGAAAGCGGGAGGGGAGGAGGGAATTTAACAACCACTTCACCCAGGGTCAGGTTGGCTGTTGCGGGAGGCTCGTCCTGCATGTGCTGGAGGATAGGGATGGCCACGCCTCCCACAACAGCCAACCTGACCCTGGGGGAACCAGTTGTTAAATTATTTGAATTCCACCACTGGCTATACCAAGGGTCTTCAAATGTGGCCAGTTTAAGAGTTGTGGACTTCAACTCCCAGAATTCCTTCACTAACATGACTGGAGGAGGAATTCTGGGAGTTGAAGTCCATAAGTCTTAAAGCTGTCAAGTTTGAAGACCCCTGGGCTACATCATAACTTTGAACTGTCGTAAGCAAAGGACTAACCGATAAGGTCAAACTCATCCAAAAGAGGTAGAGTGTTCAGTACAGCACAATAGTACAACACTACCTGATGAAAAGAAACAGAGCTGTGTCAGTCACTGATTGATACAGTATCTATACCAATTTTCCTCAATCTTTTACCTTTTCTATTTCCTTCTCTACCAGCTTTTACACACCAAATGGGGGATAAGATTGCTATATTTAAATAATTCTCCATACCTTGTTCTGTTGCTTTCACATCAATACAATCTTCTGATACGCCCGAAGTCATGAATACATTGTTCTTCTTTACTATAAAAAAAAGGTTTTCCAAAATGTTCAACAAAATTTGTGTTCTTTTTCCCCCAGATGTTACATTATACCCAGCTTAACCACCTTAAGCTTTTGCAAGACTTTTAATGTTCTTTTTTCAAGAACAGTATCTAGTCCACTTAAACTCATCAAAGCTCTCTTACAGAGATAATTGATAATGAAGGGATCATCAGCCTGAAGGTACAGACTAGCCCTTTGCAAAATATATTTTTTGAGCCAGCAATCGATGGGGATAACAGAGGACAAGGAAGCTGGAGCTGACCAGAAGGATTCGTGATATAATAACTTATTTTATTTTAGTAGGATACCTCATTTTTTGTCAGAACAATAAAGTGGCACAAGAATGAAATTAATTTGAATGAGCCTAATTTGAGAAGGTGGGAGACGAAGAAGAAGAAGAAGAAGAAGAAGAAGAAGAAGAAGAAGAAGAAGAAGAAGAAGAAGAAGAAGAAGAAGGAGGAGGAGGAGGAGGAGGAGGAGGAGGAGGAGGAGGAGGAGGAGGAGGAGGAGGAGGAAGAAGAAGAAGAAGAAGAAGAAGAAGAAGAAGAAGAAGAAGAAGAAGAAGAAGAAGAAGAAGAAGAAGAAGAAGAAGAAGAAGAAGAAGAAGAAGAAGAAAGGGATGGAAAGAAAATAAAGAAAAAAGGAAGAAACAACATATATGTTTACATATCAATTTTATGTATTCACTTTCTAGATCAACATTTAACTTACCTGGTTGAGAAGGTGGAAATGATGGAATGATGATAAAGGATGATTTTCTTACTTGTTTCTTGGAACATACAGTGGGTTTTTTTTCCCCAGTAGCATTTTACATTTCATACCATCATAATTTATTTATAGTTGAATGCTGACGTAGTTATACCGGTACTTATTTTTGCTAACAAGTAAGATAGGCTTCGGTATTTTATTATTCATATAATCTCCCCCTTACTGTCATTCTGCTATCATTTATTTCAAGCCAATTTTTTTTAAATGGTTAGAAATAAAAGCATGGCATTCGGGACTTCAGGGATGTAACATTTGAAACCAAATTTTGGAAAAACTGCACTTGCCAATGTAAATGGAACGTAAACAAATGATTAAGGGAGAAGCCATACCTCTATAGGACTCCAACTCGGAGGACTGAAAAGAAGAATATGAAGCTCTTGCACGTTTTCTGGATCCACTGGGAACTAAGGACAAAAACAAAACAAAACAGAACACATGATAATAATATCAAATTCCAGCAAATCCCAGTAATATACAAGTAGTCTTCAACTTACAAGCATTTGTTTAGCGACTGTTTGAAATTACAACACTGAAAAAAATGACTTACAACTGGTCCTTGCCCTTACGACCATGGCAGCATCCCCATGGCCACGTGATCAAAATTCACACCCTTGGCAACTGGCATGTATGTACGATGGTTGCAGCACCCAATGGATCATGGTAATCTCCATTTGTGACCTTCCCAAATGGCGTCTGACAAGTAAAATCAATGGGGGAAGATGGATTCACTTAACAACTGCATGATTTGCTTAACGGCAACCCTGATTTTCTTGACCTCTATGGCAAAAAAGATCATAAAAACAAGCATGACTTGCTCAGCAACAGAAAGAATCCGTGGGGTGTGAAGACTGGTTGTAAGTCATCTTTTTCAGGACTGTTGTAACTTTGAAGGTCCCTAAATGAATGGTGGCAAGATGAAGTCTACCTGTATTTGGATTCTGAGGTTCAAGAGTTCTAACCTCCTACCCTTTCCACAAGTTTGCCAAGGAAGATTTCTGAACAAAAATCATGTTTACCGTTTTCAGTCTTGTGCACTGGATCTTCTGCAGGCCTCTGAACAAAAAGAAGGATTGGTTAAATCTTAAGTGAAAAGTTGTAGATGTCAACAGTTGGTTTTTTTTTTTAATTAGATAAGGTGGACATTCAGACTGTCCAACTCCTTTTGCCAAGCTTGTCATTGATCTCTTGACCAGGAGTGGGATTCAACCGGTGTTATTACCAGTTCGGTGACTACATTTTGTGCGCGCATGTATGCTTCGTGCGCACCAGTGGTGGTATTCAACTGGTTTGCACCGGATTGGGTGAACTGGTAGCAAGAATTTGGTATGGGTCGCCAAACCGGTAGTAAGTTCTAGCTGGCCATGCCCCCGATCCGATCTCCCTCCCACCCGATGCTCGCTTACCCGCTTGCCTGACATTCACCTAAGGTATTTCTTTCTTTTTTTCCCTCCCGACAATCAGCTGTGCATAGATCAGCTATGTTGGGATTCCCCTTGCTGAGGCCTAGGAAGGCAAAAAATGGAGGGAGGAGCTCAGCCCCCCATCCATTTTTTGCCTTCCAGAGCCCCAGAGGAGCCTTAGGGGAGCAAAAACGCCCCCCCCCAGAGGCTCCTCTGAGGCTAGGAAGCTCCCAAAACGGAGCTTGGAGGGGTGTTGCGCGCCCCTCCCATGCTCTGTTTTTTTCCTTCCTGAGCCTCAGAAGAGCTTTAGGGGAGCAAAAACGCCCCCCAGAGGCTCCCTTCAGGCTAGGAAGCTCCCCAAGATGGGTGGGGGCAGCAAAAAAGAAAAAAAAAGCCACACCCACCCAGTCACATGGCCATACCCACCAAGCCACGCCTACAGAACCGGTAGTAAAAACATTTGAATCCCACCATTGGCTCGCATGCGCGCTAGACGCACGCTGTGTGTAAAAAAACTTAAGCTGTGCCGCCCAGACAGCTGAAAAGCGCTGCATGCAGGTGCGCAGTGTTTGAAAAGCCTCTTTTTTCCTGCTTTTTCAACCTCAGCTGTGCCGGGCAAAGCAGCTGAGGTTGAAAAAGCAGGAAATAAAGGGCAGATAAGAGCCCGGGCAGGCGGATGGGCCAAACAGCAGTAAGCACAGAACCAGTTCGGTGTCTGCTACTCTTCAGAGCTACCAATTCTATGGAGCCAGGCGGAACCGGTAGTATCCCACCCCTGTTCTTGACCCAGCATAAATAAACCAGTTTTCCAGGCAAGAAACAATTTGTTTATATAAGTCTAATTATTGCAAAAAGAGAGTGAAGTCAAAGAAAGGAATTACTGTATTTTTCCCTCCATAAGACACAGTTCCCCCCCTGCCAAAAGTGGGTGGAAATGACTGTCCGTCTTATGGAGCGAATATTGTGTCACAGACCAGGCTGCAGCAGCGGGGTCCTTTTACAGAGCGGGTTGGTGTGCTGGTGACAGGCAGCAGCGGCAAATGGCAGCAGTGATCCCTGCTGGAACAGCTGGTCGACGGTATTCCGGGAGGCCAATCCAATCGCTGATCAGCTGATCAGCGCCAAAGGCTCCTGCATTCCCCAGCGGAGGCAGCAGAAGCGGGATTTTTTTTTTCTTGTTTTCCTCCTCTAAACCTAGATGTGTCTTATAGTGTGAAAAATATGGTAGTTGAGGGCTGTCAGCACAAATTTGCAAGTGCCTTTTTTAGTGGCTCAAATCCATAGCTTTCTCTTCCTGCTTTTTCATGAAGTAATAATCTTTGCACGGGGTGGCTTCGAAAATTTTAGCAAAGGGTTCTCTGCCCAGTTGCTGGATAGGTGTGGCCATGGTGGGCGTGGCCTAGTCAGCCTCCTGCACCATGGCAGGGGGGGCGTTTTGCCTTCCCCGGGCTCCGGAGACTTTCCTCGAGCTTCCAGCAGGGCAAAAGCAGCCTCCCTGGGCTCCGCAGGCTCTCTGGAAACCAGAAACGGGCCGATTTCCAGCCTTCCCAAACTTCCAGGAGGCCCATTTTTCACCCTCCCCGAGCCTCCATGTGTGCCCTGCACTTACCTGCATCCAAAATGGACTGCATGGGGACTCCTGGGAGGGGCGAGGTGAGATGAGCAGGGCCAGCCAGGAGTTGAATTTGGGGGTTTTCCAAACTGCACAGAATCCCAAACCCCTGCAAACCTTCAGCAGCCACCCCTGTCTTTGCACAACACTTGGTAGTCATGAATCCAAGCCATCATTGAGCCTTTGCACAGTGTGCTTGTTGAGTGTTTATATTCTATGTGGCTGTCTATATCATTCAAAGTTTTGGAAAGTACACTGGAGATTATGGCAGATTCCCCTATTGTTTAGATATATAGGCTTCAGCTCCCCTAATTCCTAGTTAGTAAGGCTAGGCCGGAAGTTGAATGGATGGTACCTCCTGTGGAAGACAGCGCCACCATTTTTGGATGAAACCATATCTTCTCCTCTTGAGCCAAAAAGAGCAACAGTTCACCACACACACAACAAATTTCATTAATCTTATTGCTAATTACATAATATTAATTATGAATGTTTGTTTTCCATTCATACCAAGCATTCAGTGAAAACTTCTTTCTGACTGCACCTGAGTTAGTGTGACGTGAACTGGAAGGAGCTCAATTTAAATATTATTCTGAATTCAATTAAAGGAGAAAGAGCAATCAAACCTGTTGATACTTCATGCTTATGCAGAACAACATGGGGGGAAGCGGGAATCTATGTACGTACAAACATGGACCTAAATAGGACATCACATTAATCCATGTTTTCCCAATCACACTACCATAAATAGTTTGTGTATACAGATGATTCACTAAGATAAGATAAGATAAGATAAGATAAGTCAATTAGTATTTCTCTTTCTGAAGATACTGTTTCTATGCAGACTGTCAAGATCCCAATTGACGAACCGAACCAAGCAGACTTGAAACTTTCCGGTCTCTTTCTACTAAACTTTATCAAATACATCATATTGGCACAAATTGAAAGCAAAACCAACTCTAATTAATCCCCATGATTTTTGCATAGAATCAATTTCCCTTCCCCTCATTAGTTCGTGTCACATTGTTCAATTAGCACTCCCAATCAGTGGCGGAATTCAAAATATTTTACTACTGGTTCTGTGGGTGCATGCAGAGCATTCTAAAATGGGCAATTTTAAGCATGAAAACTTACCTTACTGTCAGCGCTGGTGAGTAAAACAGCTGAGGCGTGGCAATCCACTCTGCCATGCCTATCAGCTGAGCTACAAAAACAGGAAATATAGGACAGCAAAGGGTGGGGGTGTGTGGGCAGGGCCAACTGCTACCAGATTGCTAGAACCGGTGTGAACCGACAGCATACCACCACTGGTCCCCATATTGTTTTAGCAGCAGTAAAACCTTTAGCCTTAGTAACCCAGATGGCTGAACGATCTTGGTTCCCACAGAAATGGATTCTTGTCATTGTTTGCTGGCTGGAACTGGCATTCAACAGGTAGCTCCCCTTCTCTACAGTCTGTGTGGCAACTGAGAAGCGGCAACAGTTGAAATCAACACAATTCCGCTTTGAAGTTGACACAGACATTCAAATAAATTGGCAATCCCACTTCACCCACTATGTGGATCCACGTAGGCTGAGTAAATTATCTTAAACAAATGCCAGAAGGATTGGAGGAGTTTCAGTTCTCACCTTGCAAGGTCGCTCCTTCTTGAAGACAAACATGGGCTGTGCAATCACTGAAATGTCTGGAAGTAGAACAGAAAATCCCAACATGAAATCATGTAGACCAGTTTGTTGACTGCAGATTTCTATTGTTTTCCTCTTTTCTCTTGAAAAAAGCAATTATTTGGTCTTCAAAATCACATTGTTTTCAAATCTGCAGGGGTCACCTTTTCTATTTAGGGTTGCAGATACAGCAATAACAATAGCAGTTAGATTTATAAACCGCTTCATGGTGCTTTACAGCCCTCTCTAAGAGGCTTACAGAGTCAGCATATTGCCCCCAACAACCTGGGTCCTCATTTTACCCATCTTGGAAGGACAGAAGGCTGAGTCAACCTTGAGCCAATGAGGATTGATCCCATGACAGTTAGCAGAATTAGCCTGCAATACTGCACTCTAACCACTGTGCCACCACTACACTTATTGAAAATGTAGAATTTTCTAAATAATTCAGATGATGTGTACAAAAACGCATATGTGATTCAGCTACAGACTTCTAACTTGAGAAAATATGAACACAGAATTCCACTATGCCCTAGAACCTGAGAATATAGTTATTGCTGCTCCTAGTTTCAGACTGCAAGTGTGTTCCACAGACAGACTGTAATTAGATACAATCATTTTTTATTATTACATGTAGTTTCTATATGTCAGAAAGTATTGCTCTCATAGATTAGGCAAAATCTATCCCATTTGTCTAAAATTAACAATATATTGTTTGTTTGTTTAATTGATTTCCTCCCTTTCCTCTAGTGCAGGGGTCGCCAACCTTTTGGACCTCAGGGACCACCAAACTCATAATTTTAAATCCCAGGGACTACTAACCGGTTCTGTGGGCATGGCCTAATTTGTTGGTGTGGCTTGGTGGTCATGTGACTGGCTGGGCATGGCTTGTATGTAAATATTATAAATATTTATATAAATATTGAATTTTTTATAAAAAAAATCAAAATCAGGCAAAGCAGGCAGGCAGATTGAGTTGCTCACAGAATCACAGATTCATTCAGAAATCTATCTATCTGCCATTGGCTTGCTCAGCCTGTCACATAAAATTTGCTTGCAAGCAAATTCACAAAATTAACTCAACACACCATGTATATAAATATTGAATTTTTTATTAAAAAAGAGCAACTTTTACTCAAAATCAGGCAAAGCAGGCAGGCAGATTGAGTTGCTCACAGAATCATTTGGTGATCTATCTATCTGCCATCAGCTAGCTCAGTCTCTCAAATTTGCTTGCTGTGAGTCTGCACTGAATAACAGAACCTTCAGTCCTAAAGAAGGTTCGGCTGTGCTTAAAAGCAGAGCTGAAGATCTAAAGACTAGCTAGAAAGCAAGAAATCTGACCATTTCCTGCTTCCTAGCTAATGTAAATCACCTGGCACAGCAGAACAGATGATGGTCAGAAAAAGGAAAAATAGCAATTTTAGCAGGCAAGCTTGCCGGGTAAGGAGTGAGTGGGTGGGGAGTGTTCCTGCGGGCCATGTGGATGGCACAGCCTTGTGTTTCTGCGCAGCCTGGATTAATTGCTTTGAGGGATGCTCTGGAGGTGGGATTTCTCTGTGGCCCACCAACATTTTCTCACGGCCCACCAGTAGGCCGTGGCCCACAGTTGGCAACCGCTGCTCTAGTGCATGGATATCAAACTGCAGTCTGTGGGCCGGGTGTGTCACGCACAGGCCAAGCCCACCCCAGCTCCATGAAGAGAAAAAATGTCATGAAATATTCAGAGTGGTATTCAGCAGGTTCTGATCAGTTCTGGAGAACCAGTAGCAGAAATTTTGAGTAGTTTGGAGAACCAGCAAATACCCCCTCTGACTGGAGATTTTACAGTATCCTTCCCCTGCCACGACCACCAACCACACCCACAGAACTGGTAGTAAAAAATTTTGAATCCCACCACTGGATACATTACATGACAACATGATGAGTTTGACATCCATGCTCTAGTGGCCAGGTGTCAAACTCATGATGTCATATTGTTGCCATGTGATATATCATGACTTTTTCACCCTTCGCTAAACCGGGGGTGGTGGGGGTCAGCATCCGGCCTACAGGCTGTGAGATTGGCACCCCTGGTTCATTTTATTCTCCACTCAATTTTTCCCTCAGACACCCCATGGACTGTGTTAAGTTTGGGGAATAATGGAGACCAGACATCTGACCAGTGACT